CTGTCTGTTGGGCTCAATTAAACTCAGAAAAATTCTCTACAGGCTTGGACATTTTTTAAGTCAGCAGAGATTACAGGCGTTTGTGTAAGAAAGGGGGCCACGGATGAACCGGACACGCGCAGCCGAGGCCTGCGGGCGGCCTTGCAGGCCCAGAGCGCGCAGCAACCACACGGGGTGGTCCGAAGTCAAAACCTCCGAAATGAAAGCAGTTCGTGGCCGTGTCCTAGGCTGGTGCTTTTCCCTAACAAAGGTCAACCTTTACCTCAGCTTAGCCAGTCCGTTGTCTTTTTGCATCTACTATAACGTGCCTGTGGAGTGTCAAATTTCCTTTTTCCGGACCCCAAAAAGAACACCAGCGGGAGACCACAAACCCACTCGTTGCTATTGTTATCATGGTAATTGTTGACTGTTAACTCTCTTGTACCGCCTGTGTCAAAGATATGTCTGTCATTTTACTTTCTGTCCGATTCCAGAGGCCCACCCCCTCCCCAGCCTTTGCTTTCTGCAGCTTTCCTTATCTATCACCGACAGATCTCATGTGCACCCCTTACGTCTTCTCCTCTGATTCTAATGTATAAAATAAGGTGCAAAACTGCCATTTTCTGGAGCATTTCCCAATCCATTGAGAGTTTGCTTCCTGGCAATTGTGATCAGTTAGGCTCAAATAATCTCACAAACATTCTCTACAGGTTTGGATGCTTCTTACATTGACAAGTTAAAGGAGAAAAGCGCAGGCCCAGACGGCATCACTTGCAGCAGAAGCCCACCACACGCCGCCTCCATACCCGACCCAAGTGCAGTTTCAGCCTCTCCTGGAAATGTAACCTTTATCAAGCAGTCTGGAATTTCGGGCCGAGCACCAGGAAGGTCCCCCAGCTGTCACTTGAGCCCTCTCCATCCCCTATGCAAAGAAGAGCCATCTGCATGATAAAAACACTTCCCTTTCTCTCCCCTAGAAGAAAGCTGTCTGGGCCCCAGAATAATCCTATCTTATCTAAGGACTCCCTTGCTGCCCTGTGCTTCCTGTAAACACCTTCCATGTGGTACAGCTCCTGGGCAGGGCGGGTCATGAAGCCAATTAGATCTTCCAATGGAGTCAGTTGAATTTTGTTTTTTAACCAAGGGTAGGGCCTTAATCCAGTAAGATTGATAGCCCTATAAGAGAAGGAAATTTCCCTCCTCTCAAATTTGCATGTGTTTTTCTTATACTACTTCACTTCCAAGAGCTAAAGTTAGATGTTAATAAACACAGGAATTGGTAAAAGCGTTGGGCAAACAGTCAAGCTAAGCAGAAAGTCTCAACAGTAGAAACACTACAACTTCTATGTGTATTGGCTTCTTCTCCTCAACTGTTGAGGTGGCCCCTATTTTAAGAGAAAACGACAGGTCAGCTGGTTCTTTATCCCGCTGTTCTTTCCTGGGCTCCTGCCTTCCCTCCCCGCTAAGCACGGGAGTCTGGTTTGCACAAGCACCAGCCTGTCTGCAGCTATTCACGCTGAGATAAAAGCCACTTTCCTTTTATAAAATATACTTTTAAATTACAGTTGATGCATCATAGGATACTCGTTTCAGCTGTACAACCCTGTGATTAGGCACTTATATAACTTACAAAGTGATCACCCTGCTGAATCTCACCCATCGGACACCAAATGTAGTTATTACAACATCTCTGACTACATTCCCTTCGCATCCCCGTGACCATTTCGTGACTACCAAGCCAATTGGAACTTCTAAAGCCCTTCATCTTTTCCACCCAGAAGCTGTCTTCTAATTGTCAACTTCAAATGATTCAGTCCCTACCTTGACTTCCTGGGAGTGCTCAGTGCCGTTGTACCCTTCTAGAAACCCGTTCCAGGACTTCTAAGGCACCACTCTCTCCTTGTTTTCCTCCTCTGACCAGGTCTCAAGTCTCCTTGCCCCCAACAATCCTCACTCACAAGACTCTGCGGGCGATCCCATTATCCATGGCTGTAACCACTGACTTCTCTAAAGCGTTTGGCCCTGACCCTGCTCTGAACTCCAGGTCCATAGTTTCATTTGCCTTCAGAGTGACTCCACCTGGGTGTTCCAGGGGCCTACTGCAATCTGATGTTCCAGTCATGACTCAGTGTTCTCAGAGAGCCACCTCCTTCTTTGGGACTGTCACCGAGCCATGCCTCGGCTGCCCTGTCCTCCCTCCCTGGCCCCTTAGACTTCATCTGCTTCTCAGCCCTGTGGTTTCTGTCTCCTGCACGTACTGAAACCCACCTCTTTCGCGACTTCACTGCCCCCAATTCATTTGTTTGGGAGGCAGCGCCGAGGGATGGAGGGGAAGCGCACCGGCACCGCCTGGGCGGCTTCCTTTCCACCGCAGCACACAGGCCCTGCCTCTCGGGCAGGGGTCAGGCCCACCACGCACTCTGCCCCCGACACCGTTCTGCTCTACCCACCTCCGATCCATCCTCCAGGCTGCTGTCAGAATGACCTTTCAAAACGCAACACTAACAGTGCAACCTACCTGCTTAGTCTTTCAAAAATTCCCCAGAATCCTTTGGATAAAGTCCAAACTTCTCTGAAAACCCTTCACGCATTCCTTCCTGCCCCCCCCCCCCCCCCCCCGCTTCCACCTCACCGGCCCCAGCTTTGGGGCACCCTGCACTCAGGCTTTATCAAGCGTGGAGGTACTTGCTGTTCCTGGAACATCCCTCCTTCCCTTGCCTGGCTGTTCTGCCTCATTCCTTTCTACTTGGAAGTCACCTTGCTCAGCATGCCTCTCCTGGTTTCTCCGGGCAAGAAGGCATATCCTGTCTGTTTCCACCGTATCGTGTTCATATCACGATTCTATATTTAATATCAGATATTACAAGTATTTGTGTTTACGCAACATCTCACCCACCAAAGGGTGAACAGACTTCATTCAATTCTTTTTTGCATGATCACACGTAAAGCCTGGGATGGAATATGTACTAAACAAATGTCTACTGAATACATTTTTGAAGTACGTTTTAATATATATTTTTCCTGATTGCTTAAAGGAGGTGTTTAATATATAACAAAAACAATACTACTTTCAGGATAGCATGCTCTTTGAATCCTTTTTAATAATAGCACTTCATATTTGAACAGTACTTTTCATTTTTCAAAGCACTTTTTCCCCAATACTTTATTATGAATATTCCCAAACATACGGAAAAGAAAAAGAATTGTAAGTGAACAGCCATATACCCATCACCTAGATTCTAATGTAACCTTTCGTTATTCAGGCAGACCTTGGAGATTGTGCAGTTTGCTTCAGACCAGTGCAATAAGTTGAGTCCTAATGCATTTACTGGTGGAGGGTCTTGCTTTGAATTTGTAAAAAAAAAAAAAAAAAAAAAAAAAAGGCAACATCTGTGAAGCCCAGCAAAGAGAGGAATGCCTGTATTTACAAAACACTTTTATGGGCTGTTATTATCTCTTTTTTCTAATGACTAAGGTAATAGCCTACCAGCTTTATAGATAAGGAAACAGACTGGGAGGGTTTATTGACTTGCTAAGGAGCCTGCCTCCAGGAGTTGTAATCTGTGCAGGCTGACTCATCCACACCTTCTGGGCATTCGATGTGCTCATATAAGAAGGCCTGAACCTGTAGAGAGTTTTATGAGTTTATTTAAGCCAAACGGATGACGTATGCCAGGGAACAGGATTTCAAATGCTTCGGAGAATAATAGTTTTGCAGTTTTTTTTTAATGCATTTGAAATTATGGAGGGGGAAGAGCAAAACAGGGATAGGATCACAGGATAGTTAACAAGATTATGTGCTCTCTTGAAGGTGGTTATGATTTATTTCAAAGGCGTGCTAGCCTCTGGGTGCAGGAAAACAATGAACAGAGCTTGTTTAAGGCAAAGGTAAACCTTTTACTAAAAAGTTACGGGCAAGGGACCTGACTACCCGCCATGACCTGCCAAGTTAGGAATTTATGATCAGATCACCCTGTGAGGTTACTTTCCATATAACCCAGTTCTGAAAAAATGGGAGAATCAGCAAAATTGTGGGATAACCAACAAGGACATGTTTGTAGCTCATAAGTCGTTCAGAGGGGTATCCAGTCTTGGGTTCCCTCCCCCTCACCCACTTCCATTCCTGGTTAGTCATCATTTCCTGCCTGATCTCTTTCTTCCATCCATTCTTTTCAGTCCTAGGAGCAGGTTTAGAAAACCCTTTATCTTAGCTGTCTACTCTTTCTTTCCTTGTGCCAGAGATACGTGACCCCCAATTAAAGCAGGGCCCTAATCACATCTTTGCTCAACTCACAGAACACAGCAGCTCACCATTTCCTACCAAATTAAGTCTACTAGAACCTCTGCCTTCTACAGCGTAGCCTACGCATGCGTCTGTCTTCTTACTCTTTAGTTTCTCTCTTACAGGACCAAAAGTCGTTTCCCTAAATACACCCAGGGCTTTCTGCATATTTCCTTTCTTCGTGTATAAGTCACCACCACTCCCCTTCCAAATGCCGCACGTGTAAATTCTAGACCTCCATGTTACAGCCCCGCTCAAATGCCAATTCTTCTCATAAGCCTTCTAGAAACCTCAGGCCTATTTTAACCCCTATCGCCACGCTTGGGGCATCCTGCCACCCCGATATTAATCTCCTGCGTAGAGCCTTATGGCCCGATTTCTCTTAAGACCTTCTGCCCCTTTGCCCGAATAAGACATCCCCGAGAAAAGGGACACTGTCACATTCACCATCGCCCACGCACCCACTCGGGGCTTTATCGTGCTCAATTCCATTTACGGAAACACTTTACGCCGAAAGGGTCGGGCGGGGGCGCGCTTTGCTGTATTCGCACATTCACACTCACGCACCCACCGATGCGGTCTGTCTTCCACTTACGCGCACACGTGTCCCAGAACCCCAGCCCTAGGACTGTCTAGGGACTCCCCGCCTGTGGGCGCTTCCATTCCAGCCAGCGGCAGGGGGCGGGGCTCGTGTCTTTAAAACCGCGCCCTCGGACTCCTGCTCCCTTAGGCCTCCTACAGCGTCCCCTCCACCACCAGCTTAAGACCTCTTTCCTTTCGAAATAAAATTGCCCCGGTTCTTGGAGCCTAGCCTGGCCGCGCCAGAGCCCGGCCCCACGGGCCTCCCTCCGGGCCCCTCTTGGTTGCGCCCGCTTTGTCAGCGCGCCGCTCTCACCCGGTATCCTCCAGGTCTCCCAGCCGCAGTCACAGATCCTCCGCCGCCACCGCCGAAGCAGCCTCCGGGGCTCCAGCCTCTCCCTCCGGCTCGCCTGCCCAGGACTCTTCCAAGGGTCCGAGCTAGGCGAGAAGGAGTCTCCGCTCGGGCGCCCCCGAGAGCCTGCTCCCATCGGCCTCGGCCGTACTCTGCTCCTCGGGCGCGCGAGGGGTCGCGGCGGTTGTGGCAGCGGCGCCCGGCATGTATCAGAGCCCGTGGCGGCTCTGCTCCGCCCTGCTGCAGAGGGACGCTCCCGGCCTGCGCCGCCGGCCTGGCCCGGGCCCCGGCCCGCGCTGCCAGTCGTCCCCGCCGGCGGTCGCCCGAAGACCGGCGTCCCCCAGGTTCCTGGCGGCGGCCTCGGGCCCGCCGGCGTTGCGTCCCGGCGCAGGTGAGTGTTTGGCGGTTCCCGGCGGAGGACGCCGCCTGCAGACGGCGCGGAATGAATGGGAGCCGGGCGGCGGGCGGGAAAGCGGCCGCTCTCCCTCCCTCCCTCTTCCCTTCATCGCCTGGGGCTTAGAGCTGGAACGTTGTGTTCAGGTCCTTGGGTGTCGGGCCTTCAATATTTCTCTCCTGGACCTACGTTTAACTTCCCCCTTTCCGAGGCCGAAAATGATTTGTGTCGGTTTTACTTCTTATTGCTTTAATTATAGAAATTTTATGCAAAAAAAAAATAATTGAAAGTTACATTTATTGGACCACGTGGCTTTCATGGCCTCGATGGTCCGTTTTTAATGTTAACCAAATATTATAACACGCAGTGATTTGTCTTACATTTATTTGGGGTTTTTTGGAGCCTTCCACTTATCGATTCTTACACGTCATCCTGAGTTCTGTTTACCTGGGTTAAGTCTTGTAAAGGTGATGTCTTCCATCTCCAAGAGCCAGCTTTATACCTCACATACCTGGGACTTTCCCTTTTTTGCCACCTCGGTTTTGTCTGGGGACACGTAACTGTGGCCACAGATTACATACAAATTAATCATACTTTTAAGATGAGAAAGTGTCTCTTTCAAATTGGCAATTACTTCACCACACTAAAAAGTGTACTTTGGCTGTGCGCAAGTGAGGCTGTTGCTTTTTGAGACATTTGTGTGACCGTCCCATGTTATAAATAGCTACATTTTGCTCCAAAAGTTTTGGAATAGTTTAAGAAAGACAAATGAAGCAATATGTTCAGTGTGGCTTTCTTTAATTAATGAAAGCGATCATCCAAAATGTGATTGAAGCCAAGACTTGAAACTCTATTCAGGTTGTTTGGCATTTGTTAGGCAGAGGCTGGCTTAAAATTAGGATGTTAAACTGGTAACTGAGACTCTGTAAAAATTAGGTGGTTTTTTAGAAAGGGTAAACTTGACAGTCGTTCGGTTTTGTTTTGTTTTTTCTCTCCAGTTCTATAGAAATTTGGCACATCGTGAAATAACTGTTAGATGGATGCCTCCTTGTAACAGTGTTTTTTCTTACTGGAAATTTTCAAGAGGAAAAATGTTAGGTTTGAGGTGGAAGAAGTAAAAGAAACCCTTTAAAAAGTCCCCTAGAACACTTAGTTTCACAGACAAAGAAATTATTATGGTCTTTGAACTATTGTAGACAGCCACTACAAAATCTAGGCCATTTTCCTGTTTTGTGCACTTTAGCTTCATCTGCTTGTTAGAACATTGGCTCACTCGTTGCTTGATCCGCACATTCGCTCCAGGAGTCTGCCTGAGCGCTCACACACTGGAGGTCCGGCACAAATAACGCCTCTTTTTTATTACAAAACCGTAACCATGTAATTCTGTAGCATGACAACATCACACTCAAGCACACCATAGGACATTTTTAGGTGAAATGTTCAAATGAAAACTACAAATTATTACACCCATATTATTACCCTACCAACCACACTCAAGCAGGCGTTACTTCTGCCGGAACTGTTACTACAGAAGGTAAAAGAATGTGAGCCTTAGTCTGCCTTTAAGGATTTCACTGTCCAGTAAGACAGATGAGATTTGCAAAAAGAAATAACTAATGAGGTTAAACACCTTTTATTTTAAGAGATAAAGGTTTACACAAGGGTGTAGGAGTCAGAGAAGTCCCTCTTAGCAAAGTCCATCTTTCTGGGCTCAAGCGTGTTGCACACTTACCTGGCGGGGGAGACACCAGGACCATGAAGGTGCCCTTCCCAGGGCGAGGCTGGCCCCTGCGAGCTCCCTAGATATGGGAACTTGGCTGCGTAATTTGTGGTGTGGGGGGCGGGGGCACGTGAAGGGAGTGTGTGGCAGTTGCGCTGGGCCTTGAAGCTTGGTTAGGATCAGAAAAGACTGAATCATTTTGTTTAGGAAAAGCCCAGAGCGAAGGGAGTGAGTGAGGCTTGGATGCTGCAGGGTGAGGGAAGAGGCCCCTTGCGATGTGTTTCCCGAAGGACCTCAGAACCAGCATTAGGTGCTCTTGAAAACGTGTGGGTTCGTGGAGCCTGCTGTGGGTCTATTCAACAGAATCGTTGGTGGTGGGCCCCAGATTCCAGATGGCTTAATGAAATAACAACCATAATAAAACTCCAGGTTATTCTTATGTACCACAAAGTGTAGACATAGGGCAAGAGAAGCCTTCAGGGAGCTGAGAGCTACTCTACCCTCCAGAGAGTCTTCGGGGCGGGGACATGAGCCCGGTTCCACGATAGGGTCCTTCTTCGCATATGGCCCTTGGCAATGAGAGGTCAGCATAAAGATGAGTACAGTCCCTTTGGAGCCATCAAAGGCTAGGCTATTAGGGTTTAAAGGGGACCTTAGAGATGATCTCAGTGTTTTGCTGCTACCTTTCCACACGAGGGGCTGCAGCGGCCGCCACAGTTACAGTCCAGAAGGGAAGGCAGTGGGGAGTCACCTGTGACAAAGGTTCCCCCTCCTCAGATAGTGGAGAGTTGGCGGCATTACTCTTCACCACTGGAAGGTATTGCTTTTTCCTTAGTACAATTTTAAAATCCAATAACCAGCTCACTTGAGATGGCCTCATTAGCATGTTCCTTACCTGTAAGCTGCTCAGGAGAGAAAAGAAATGGGAAGGCTTGTAATTATCAAGCTTGCACAGAAATGAATTGCCTTCCTTGTGGGAGAACGAAGAATCATTTTCCTGTAGCATTTGATGGTAAGAGTCTGACTTCAGTAAACTCCTGGGGGCTTTTGAATGAATAACCGTTTGTTCCAGAATCACATTCAACACATACGTATGTGAACATTCATAAAGCATGTAACCTTGTGTGCTGTCCAACACTGGACTATACCTAGAAGAAAATGAGATGCACTGATAATCAGTTGATCCACAAGTACTGAACTGTTTTTAGCCTGGAGGCAATCAGCTTTGCCACAGGAAGGAGTAAGACCTCAATTGAAAACCTGAGTTGGCTGTCCTCTCGTCTCTGCCTCTGCCTTGTCTCAAAGCAACACTTGAAACATACCAGCCACCATGAGTCGTTGGTAGGGATGTAGGTAGGAGCACCCAGGAGAAAGAGGTAAAGAAAATTATTGCTGTCAGATTTGAATGTTTCTGGAAAGGCCTTTTTTCTCCTTCCACTATCAGAAAATAGGTGGGCCCCACTCAGACCTTCTGAATGTTCACATCTGCGAGTAGGGCCCAAGCACCTGGTGACGTGGGTGTAGCTCTGTGGACAGCCAGAGAGGACACTTGTTTTATGAAGTGCTTAGCTGCCTGCTAGAAGCTTCTCACTAATGAAGTGTCTTATTTCCACAAGACTTCCGTGGAAGTGCATGAAGGTTACAGGCAGCCAAAGTCACGGCACAGCGATTGCAGTGGGGTGTCTGGCTTGTCGCCTCCTGGTCCTCTCCCACCATCCTCCTTTCCCCTGACACTCTGCACCTCCAGAGCTCGGGCGGGGCCCTTTGCCAGTCTCCAGAGATGCTTGTGACTCCACATCCAGTAGGGGGTGCAGAGGAAATTACCTTAATGTTTTGCTTTCATGCATGCTAACCATCACTGAGGGACTGCCGAAGGAAGACACCTTTCAAATGATAGGTCAGACTTGATAGATTGCCTGAGATGTATTGTACGATTAATTTCTTACATGATTTTTTCAATACAATTTCTTTAATTACAAAAGTAGCACATTCCCGTTACTAGAAACCTTTTCCCTCAGATTTTTGAATATCATGGTGAGTAGGTATTGATTCTCTCTTAGAAGCTTATAGGATTTTTCTTTTTCTTGGTGTTCAAAAGTTCCATCAGGACAAAAGTCTCAGCCCCAGTAAGCCCATTCAATCTGAAGACATCCCATTGTTCCTCGTGTTCTTAAATTTCCATTAGACAGGTTGCTGATCACATGGACCTAACCTGTGTCTCTTCTCTCTTTTTTTTTCTTCTTCTCTCATTTTTAATGTCATTTTTATCTCTTTATGTGAGGTTTCCTGAACATTTCCGTTTTGCAGTCACTTCAAATTTTTAGACATTTTCTGGGTCTCTGATCCTTTTTTCAGAGAAGCCAATTCTTGTTGGGTGTCCACAATACTCTCCTGTAGTTTTAAGTGGATAGAGATACATGTGCCTGCTTCTCCCTTGGACCTCTGCTAACGGGGCGAGGAGTAGGGTGGGCAGCCGGGCCCCCTACAGCGCTGCAGACCCCCACCCCCACCCCCTGCCGTGGCCAGAGCAGGGAGGGCCTCATGCTGTGTCCTCTCACCTGTTTCACGCCTCGCTCCTCTTTCAGAAATAGCCCTGAGATCCAGGGGTAGCTCCTGGTCTGCTTCCCTCGGGGGCCCTTCCCAGGCACGCTGCCCACTGTCCCAGAAGCAGCATCTCTTCCTGTCCAGCAGGCAGAAGCCACCCCTGCCCACTTCCATCTGTGAGAGAGAAGTGGCATCACGAGCACAGCTTATTCAAACATCATTCTTAAATGACTTGTCCTCACAATTAGCCCTCAGCTTCTCCCACCCTTTGTCTCTGTTGACTCAGCTTAACATTTCTTGGAACTTCCTTCAAAAGAACCACATTAAATTTACCTTTGCTAACTAGGAAATAGTGCAGGCTTTGTAGGCCGTAGATCTCTGTGACAGCCACTCAGCTCTGACGTTGTAGTGTGGAAGCAGCCATAGACGATGCATCAGCTTTACTGATGGAACCTGACATTTGAATTACATAGAGTGATTGTCATGAAAACTTATTGTCCTTATGATTTTTCCAGCTATTTAAAAGTGGAAGCTCGCAGGCAGCAGCAGTCCCGGACCGGGCACTGGCTGGACTTGGCTCACGGGCCGCAGCCTGTGGGCCGCTGGTCTAGAGGGAAGCACTCTGCTGTCAGCAGCTTGTTCCCGTTAGCTCTCATGCCTCCACTTGGGCCTGTAAAATGGACCGTTCGCTTGAGTCCAGGGAGTGGTGGCAGTGGGGCATCATGTCCTAATA